CATTCAAAGTAAGCTATCAATTAAAAGTTTATATCTTTTTTTTTCTATTTTTCTTTGATGTAGGTGTGTCCTGATGATTATTATCAATTATTTACGTTACACGCGATGATGACTAATGCAATTATCCCTCTCGTCTATGGATTATTAATTGGTAAAAGTGCTCAAGATTACAATTCATTCTTCGAAAAAGTATTAGTACAAGATAATTTTCAACCTGAATCAATTATGACTGATTTCGAAACTGGTACAATCAAATCCGTTAGAGAAATGTTGCCAAACGTTTTACATAAAGGTATTTTGTAATATTCTCAAAAAAAAAAAGTAATTAAAATGTTTGTTCTAGGATGTTTATTTCATTTTTCGCAAGCGATATGGCGACAAGTTCAACAAAAAGGATTGGTAACAAAATATAGAGAAGATGAGTCCTTTCGTTTGAATGTAAAAAAATTAATTGCTCTTGCTTTCGTTCCAGTAGATGAAATTACAACTGGCTTTGACTTAATTACCAATCAATTCGATGATGACGCCGATGATTTACTTGATTATTTTGAAAAAACATGGATTGGTGAACCAAAAAGAAGAGGTAATTTTTTTTCTTCATTCTTAAGAAATATGAAGTATAATCGACTTTCTTAGGAACTGGTCGAAAGAAGCCTCAATTTGATCACAAGTTATGGAATGTTCATGATCGTGTCCTCGCTGCTGTACCTCGTTCGAACAATTCGGTGGAAGGCTGGCACGATGCATTTGCGAACCGCGTCGCAATCAATCATCCAAATATCGTGAAATTGGCAGAGAAAATTCGTTGTGAACAATCGAAATTCGAAGTGGACATGGCGAAGATTCTCCAAGGTCATGATATTAAGATGAAGAAGGCCTGCTATCGGCGATTGGACGAACGAATTACTCGGCTGGTCAATGCATTCGACTCATCTCAACTGGATCAATTCTTAACAAATATGGCAGCCAACATTAATCTTTAGGTAATTTTTTTCTTAAAATTATTTTGTTTTCTTTAGGTTATTTTTTCCCTTTCTTTTGTTTTTTTCTTTCTTTTTTTTTGCTTTTTTTGTTCTCAATTTGTTCATCATTATGTTATGTATAATACACAAAATAAAGGTGAATTAAATGATCAATTTCACATTTTTGAAAAGAAAATTAATTAAGAGTGATGCGACGAATAGATAGTGACGAGCACAACGAAAGAAATTTCTCTGCGACTGACAGAACGAAAGATTTTTTTTTTCTGCGACGAACAGAACGAAAGAAATTTTTTTTCTGCGACGAACAGAACGCGACAAAATGTTATGCGACGAAGTGACCGTGCGACGAAATGATTGCGACGAAGTGAACGCGGCGAAGTGTCGTGCGACGAAGTGTACTAGCGCCAATTATTAATACATAAAAACTAGTATATGTTTATATCTTCTTATTTCAGTCATGTGTGTGTGTATATTTTTTGAATTCTACTTCTAATCATTGTATGTCTGATAGGCACATTTTTCGATTGTTTTCTTGTTGTACTATTATAACATTTAGTTGTATGTGATAAATTCTATTAAACTATAATACACATAACAAGAACAAACATCTTTGAATTCTATAAATATTTTATTATATATAATATTAGAAATAATGAAAAAAAATCATGTTTTTATTCATATCTCTTCACATAAATAAAATACATTCGTTATTAGTGGAAATCTATTACCATTATATCTATAGGATATCACACCTACGCGTGATATCGTTTCGTTGCTCATTCTTACTATCTACTTACAATGACGATGTTGGAAAAAACCTTGATAACAATGCAAATAACATTGATTCATTTTATTCTATAAGTTTATCTTTGTTTGTTCTTCTTATTCCTCGACTTGTTGAGATAGCGATGCAAACTTCAAAAGATAACAAAACATAATGACTTGAGCAAAACAACCAATTCAACAAAAAAAGAGAATGATCTCTATCGAAAAACTAAAGAAACTTCTGTTGTATCTTCAGAAAAAAAATATATGTGTTAAACATTTTTACATTAATTAAAAAAGGAATTTGTTTTCTTTCTTGCTTTCACACTGTATTATGATTAAAATAAATACTTTGCTAGAAAAAAAGGTCACAACAGATACGAGTAGCTTCATTTTTTCTTTTTCATTTTGGTTTGTCTTTTGGTAAGAGGCCTATTTTATTGATTCAAGATATCTTGCACATAGAAACATAGACAACGATAACAGAATTTTCTAATGAGACCAGATAAAAGCAAACGAAAAATAAAAAACAATGAAAACAAGCAATATATGAAGCAATTCATTTTGAGATCGTATTCATAATCTTTCGTATTTTTCTCTTCTACGAATGACAATCAATCAATAGTGTAATTATTCATGCTTTTTGGACGGATTCTTCGTTTTCATGCCAGATGTACAGAGATTTCGTTCGTCACATGTTTTGTCGTTATCATTTCGTCAGTAACAAAACTCTTGAAATAAAAAACAAAAACGAACGAACAAAAGATTGAGATAAGAAATCCTTCAAGTCTTCTATAGTGATAACAACCATAAACAAAAAGATAGAAAGTATCAACACGAAAGAAGAAAAAATCAACATAAAAACTATCTACAGAGAGAAAGAGACGAATTCTGTTTTTGCTCATTCTTTCTTTTCATCACCATCCAACAAGTACTTACATTTTTATCTATTTATTCATTTACGAAAAACAGAACACCATTATTATTATCAACATCATCCAAATGGACAAAAAGCAACATTCAAAATCAACTGCTAGTGGATCTTCTTCATCCTCCACAACAAATAAACCAAAGAAAACATCATCATCATCAACAGCAGCATCAGTGTCAACGATGGGCAGAAGTGATGCGTTTCCTCAACCTACTCGTCGAATTATTCAGAATTTTCTTCTCGTCTGGCTCGATGCCAATATTGACGAATCAAAGGAAGATATCCAAAACACACTAAAACATTTACGACGAATTGTAGCATCCATTACAACATTCACTGATGCTCAAGAATGTTTCGATTATCTTAGTGACATTACTAAAGAAAAGGCATTTATGATCGTATCGGGTTCACTTGGACAGAAATTTGTATCAGAAATGGAAGCCATGCCACAATTAGAATCTGTGTACGTTTTTTGT